CACAACCAAGGCACATGCCCTTGACCGGAATCGAACCCGGGACCCTTGAGTCCGCAGGCCGACGCTCTATCCACTGAGCCAAACCGGTTCTGGCGATACATATTTTTTTAAAAAAGGAACTCATCCTCTCAGGCCTGGACAGTGGGAATGGCCTTGTCACTAAACATTCCACCAGGAGTATTTTATCTGGATGTTTCACTTCCCATATCAGATCCACTCCCATCACTGACGGGACAAAGTTCCAGCTCACTGGGTCACACGGAGTTCTTCAGATACAGCTCCTGGCAGCATCTCTGTTAGAATAGTCTCCTCCCCACTCTGTCTGCCGTTACCCACTCAGCACACACTCACTGAGCACCAGCTGTGCCCCCAACACAGACACTGTTTTATGCTGGGAAGACAAGTCTATCAAACAGATAAAAGCCCCTTTATTAAATGGACTTGAAGTATCTAGTGGAAGCAGCCAATGAATAAATAAACAATATAGTATGTCAAATACAAGAAATGCAAAGGAAAATAAAGCAAGGAGGAGGCTAGTGGCCACTGAGTGGAGTTCAGAGACTTGTGGTTTTAAAAGGAATGGCCAGAGAAGGTTTCTGTACAAAGGTTTAAGCAGAGAGTTGAAGGGGGCAGAAGATTGAGCCATTCACTGGGGAAAGAGCATTCCAGGCAGAGGAAATAAGTACAAAAGCCCTGAGAGGTTAAAAGTGAAGCTTCTCAGTGCACTTGGTGTTGTAGGAACTTAAGAGGAGGTCACTGTAGCTGGAGGAGGGTGATAAGATGGTAGGAGGTGATTCTTGAAGGCATGTCATGTGTGGCCAGGTTGTGAATTAAGACAACAGCATAAAATGTGTTTGGAGGAGAGGTGGAAGGTCAAAGAAGTCTTTTTTGTTTGTTTGTCTTAAGATGGCTGGACTGGGCTGAGGAGGAAGAGGGAGGTTGAAGATATAGGGAATGATCTCTACTAGTATTTGAATGGCAGGTATATCCTGGGGAGGCTGCCTCAAATGGGTCCAGAGCATGCATTATTTATGTCTAAGTTCCAGTTTTGGAAGTTGAAATAAACCCACCAGCAATTCAAATTTGAGAATAAAGCTTGATGAAAGTGCCCAGCAACATACGTGAAGGTGCTGTTGAGTCCAGATTTTCTCCTGAGGGGAGCCCTGCGTCTAACATTGTTTAGAGGTTGCCTATAGCTCAGTGATCTGAAGGCCTGCCTACACATTATTTTAGCACTCTGGAGTTTCATGTGGCTTCTAACTTTCTCAGTCAGCAGGCCACCACCTAGTCAGGGTCTGCTCTGTTTAGGCCTGATTAGCCACATTGGGACGTGATGATTCCTGTCCTTCTTAGTTTAATTTTTATTTTTTTATATATTTTATTGATTTCAGAGAGGAAGGAAGAGGGAGAGGGAGAGAGAGAGAAACATCAATGATGAGAGAGAATCACCGATTGGCTGCCTCCTGCACACCCCCCACTGGGGGTCGAACCTGCAACCTGAGCATGTGTCCTTGACTGGAATCAAACCTGGGACCCTTCAGTCCACAAGCTGATGCTCTACCCACTGAGCAAAACCAGCTAGGGCCTGTCCTTCTTAGTTTACACTAACTGAGAAAATGATTCTCATCAGAACCACAGAACGTACAGGCCAGGCCTTGAAGAATCTTGCCTCATTTTGTGAATGAGGAAGTTGAGGTCCAGAAAGATTAAACAACTTGTCCCAAATCAAACAGCCAGGCAGTGGCTGAGCCAGAACCAGGATGCAAGCAGCTCTGCTCCGACACAGTGCCCTTCCCTGTTCCATAGTGCTTCACCAACAAGAGACCAATAAAAAGCAGTGAATAGCCCTAGTTGGTTTTGCTCAGTGGATAGAGTCGGCCTGCGTACTGAAGGGTCCCAGGTTCGATTCTGGTCAGGGGCACAAGCCCGGGTTGCAGGCTCCATCCCCAGTAGGGGGTGTACAGGAGGCAGCCAAGCAATGATTCTCTCTCATCATTGATGTTTCTATATCTATCTCCCTCCCCCTTCCTCTCTGACATAAATAAAATATATATATATATTAAAAAGCAGTGAATAGTAATGCTCTATATTGTAGCATCTATGTGAGCGCAGCTTGGTTGAGAGAGGGTAGAGATTATTGGAGATAAAGGGTCTGGCATGTCATTGAGGGGAGATAGAATTTGAACTGGACCTTGAAGTTGAGACAAGATGAGGTAAGAAAGCAGGTCAGAGCCAGGAGGGTTCCAAGGACCACTGGGGGAAAACCCTAAGGCTGGAAAGAGCCTGGTGGCAGAGGGAGGGTTGGAAAGGTTAGCCAAGTAGCTTTTTGGAAGGTTCCAGATCCCAGGCTGAGGAGCTAGATGCCAGCGTGTGGCCTTGGCAATGGGGGATTACTGGAAGGGTCTCAGTAGGGGAGTAATTGTTGAGAACTTGGCTGTGGGGAGAGACATGAAGTGCAGGGGAGAGGCCAGCCAGGAATTGCTGCACTCGGTTAAGCGTGAGGTAACTCCAGGCGGGTTGTATGGGGGCTGTTCATATTCCAAGATATGACAGGGGGCATAACTGGAAAAGCAAGTAAGAGGACTCCGTTTTAGGACTTCGTTTTAGTGGCTGACCTAGTGGCAAATCAGGGGAGGAGATACTGGATGGTTGAGAAGGCCAGGCTGAAAGCCACACTCAGCCCTGGGGAAGGCAGGACAACAGTGAAGTGACGTGATACACCCTGAAAGCTGAGAGCAGTGTGTCTGAGGTGCTGAGCTGGGAGAGGTTGGCCAGTTAGGTTCTCCAGGCTGGGTGGCTGCTTTGTGATTTCCGTGGTGGAGGGGTCAACCTAGCCAAGCCCCTTGCTCTCTCCCAGAGCTCCCCCCAACACCAGCCTACCCTCCCCTCCTCTCCCAGGACATAGTGGATTTTCTTCGACGGCTGGTGGAGAGTGATACCCAGGGCCTGCACCGGATCCGTGTGGATGGGAGCAGCGGGCGGCTGCAGCTGTGGCACCATGGTGGGGAGTGAAGGGGCCGGGCCCAGGGATCAAGGCTGGTACCCTGGGGAGGGCTGACCCTCAGATGCTCCTCTTTCTCATGTTCTTTCTTTCCCTTCTCTTTCTCCCTCCTGACAGATTACCTCCTGGACCAATTCCATGATGAGGGAGAAACGACTAGACAGAGTGACAGGGGCAAGGGGGCTGCGGGACTGGGTACCTACTGTGGTCTCCAAAAGTCCTTCCTGTACCCTCCCCAAGGGTCTAAGCCCTGCCCTCAAAGACCCTCTGCCTCGGCGTCCTTGCCCAGGGGCTCAGACAGCCTGCTGCAGGTGCCCATGCCCCAGAAGCTCCTGCTGACGGAGGAGGTGAGACTGTCTGCATGGGGCTTCACCCTCCCCCAGGGATCTTCGAAACCCCATATTCCCATATCTATATCCCCCCTAATCTGGACCTTTCAAGATCCTTCCATACTTGCCTCTTTGTTGCTTTCTCTCTCTTTTCCTGCCACCTGCCCTTCCTCCTCCAGGAAGCCAACCGTCTGGCTGAGGAGCTGGTGGCTGAGGAGGAGCGAGTGAAGCAGAAAGCAGAGAAGAAGCGACTCAAGAAGAAGGTAGCTAGAGGGCGGGGGAGGGAGCTCAGAGGAAAGCTTCGAGATAACTCGGGGTAGCCTGCAGGATCCTCTTGCCAGGGGGCCCAAGGGGCCCAGGGACTGTAGGGCCTCCCGGAGGCCATGTGGTACAGCAGTTCTGGGGCCACAGCTATTGCCTGGGCTGGGCTCTGCCTCCTGTTTGCTGTGAGATGCCTGCCTGGTAACACTTGTCTGCTTTCTCACCTGTAAAATGAGGATAACAACACCTACCTCACAGAGTTCCAAGGACTAAATGAGATAGTATATGTAAAACTCCTAACCAGTACATACATGGCATATAGCATATATTCTACCTCATGAAGAATTGATCTCAGGATACAAATTGTATCTGTGTAATTTAAGAATAGTGCTCAGAATACGTCATCATCACTATTATTACAGCGCCAAAAGGACCGAAGGCGACAGGAGCGCCTGGAGCAGGACAGTGGGTTGCCCAAGGTGAGTGTCTACAGGCAGGTACTGAGAGCACCAAGTGCCAGGAAGATGGGGAATCTAAGGCATGTGGCTCCAGGCATTCCCAGCTCTGTTCCTGTTTACCTTCCCTCCAGGTCGAGGCCACCCCAGATGGGAGTGGGAGCCCCCCATCCAGCCCTGGGAACCCAGCTCAGGGACAGTGTGGTGAGGAGGAGGTGAGAGCCCCCTTTATTCCTCTCTTGGCCTCTGCTTACCCCCTACTTCCCCCTACTCCAGGACATACTTCATCCCCACCCCTGCCCTACCCTTTCTTTCTGCTCACAGGACGTACTGGATCTGTCTAGCACTTTCGTGTCTTTGGCTCTGCGCAAGGTTGGGGATTGGCCCCCTAGCTCTCTCAGAGAGAAGGAACTGAGCCAGGAGCCCCAAGGCAAGAGCCTGGGCCCTCAGAAGAAGATGAGCCAGGAGGAAGGGAGCTTGCCAAGGGAAGAGGGCCCCCGGCAGAGCCCTAAGGCAGAGGTGAGGTGAACGGAAAGAACCTCAGTTGTAACTAGTGGAAAATTCTGGGAAGTCAGATGACCTAAGGCAGTGATTCTCAACCTTCCTAATGCCGAAACCCTTTAATGCAGTTCCTCATGTTGTGGTGACCCCCAACCATAAAATTATTTTCGTTGCTACTTCATAACTGTAATTTTGCTACTGTTATGAATCGTAATGTAAATATCTGATATGCAGGATGTATTTTCATTGTTACAAATTGAACATAATTAAAGCATAGTGATTAATCACAAAAACAATATGTAATTATATATGTGTTTTCCGATGGTCTTAGGCGACCCCTGTGAAAGGGTCGTTCGACCCCAAAGGGTCGCGACCCACAGGTTGAGAACCGCTGATCTAAGGGTTGAGGGTAGTGACCAATAGAGGGAGTTCTCTGGCCTCATGTTTAAGAGACTTGGGGTCTAGCTCCATCACTGACACCCTGACCCTGGCGGGTTTCCTCTGCAGGAAAGTAGGGCTGATAGCTTCTTGCAGAGCTGTTATGAGAATTACTTGAGTTAGTTGATGCTAATTGTAATGTTAATTGTGCGAACAAAAGAGAAGAATTTGGGGAGGTTGAGGCCCGAGTCCTGCTTGACTCTTCTTCCCTTGCCATCCCTAGGCATCTCCAGGACTGCTGGCAGCTGCCTTACAGCAGAGCCAGGAGCTGGCAAGTAAGATCCTCTCTCTCCCTCCTCGCTCCACCCTCCCTGGGCCAGCCCCATCTGAGGTAGCCCCATCTGAACCTTCCCACCCTCTCTCCTTGCCAGAGTTGGGTACTGGCTTTGCCCAAAAAGGTTTCTACCGTGAGGCCGTGGTCTTCTTCACCCAGGCCTTGAAGCTCAACCCCCGGGATCACAGGTAGGTGGGGGCTTGGCCACTGTGCTGGGAGGTCGGGGCAAGACAAGGTGTTGAGGACCTGGACTGTTGGTCACTTTGTCTTCATCAGGTTATTTGGAAATCGCTCTTTCTGCCACGAGAGGCTGGGTCAGCCGGCGTGGGCCCTGGCTGATGCTCAGGTGGCCCTTACCCTGCGGCCTGGCTGGCCCCGGGGCCTCTTCCGCCTGGGCAAGGCCTTGATGGGACTGCAGGTACTGGGTCCAACATTGGATGCAGAGGAGGAATTTGGGTGGGATGGTGACATTGACATTTTCTAGGTAAGCTCAATGTACCGCAATGTCACAATGTCAGTGATTTTTAGGAGCTGGGAGCCAGTTGGAGAAAAGGGGCACTTTGAAGTTCCTTGACCACTCTCCTCCCCCCAGTACCTAAACTTTCCTCTTTCTAATCTGGGACCAAAGCGTTTCGAGGAGGCAGCTGCTGTGTTCCAGGAGACTCTGAGAGGTGGGTCCCAGCCGGATGCCGCTCGCGAGCTCCACACTTGTCTCCTGCAGCTGGCTATGGTAAGGGGGCCAGGCGTGCTCTTGCTGAGGGGCAGCAGGGAGAATTGGCTGTGATTGCAACCCCAAACGGTGCTATCTTCTGCCTCAGTGGGGCAGGGGGCGGGGCAGAATGAGTGGGATGAGGGGCAGGAGCTGTGCTGCAAGGAGTATATCAGGTGCCCCTCCCTTTCCCTTCTCAGCAGGATCAGCGAGGAGGATACCGTGCACCACCTCCGCCAACTGGGTTCCCCCAGCCGTTTCCCCACACTGAGCCCGTGGCCTCGGGCCTTCTCTCCCTCAGTCACCCTCCAAGCACTGCTCCAAGGGCCCCTCCTGGCCTTCTGTCTCCACCCTTGCACTATCTACCTCCTCACCCAAGCCTCTCCAACCAGCCCCACCCCCAGACTCAGAGCAGAAGACCTCCTCTCCATCTCCAGAACCCCTCAAAGGGCTGGGGCACCCTGGGACTTGGGACCCAGCATCTACCTCAGGCCAGATGAGGGAAGACCTGTCCCTCATAGGACAAGGCCATGGTTATATCCCACAAGGATGAGGGACACTGTGTGGTGGCTGTTCCCTGAATATTTTGAGACCTTGTACTTCAAAACCATAGTTAGAGACGCCCCTGATAGTCATTCCTCTTGCCACAGAGACCTTCTAATGAGAGAAGGAGGCCCCATGACCACTAAAACAGCCTATCTTTTGTTCTCAAGCAGATGGCTTCTTCTGGGCAATAAGGAAAAATAAAATCCACCAAGGCTCAAGAAGGGAACCTTACAAGTACAAAAGTTCAGGTGTTAAGACTATAGGGGGCATTTGAGGCTTGCTCTGCTCCTGGCCCTGGGGAACTCATTCGCTAGCCAGAGCTCTGTGCCTGGGAATGGGGTCATAGTGATGAATAAGGCTGAGTCCTGCCCTTCACTTTGTGGGTGCTCACCTCATCTTAATCCTAGTCCTTGCCCTGTTTTCTCCAGCCCCAGCCCCTCATGACTTGTTTCCTGTCCATATTTTTGTGCACATGTGACCTATCCTTTGCCCAGTGGTCTGATGCTCACTTCCTCTGACTGCTAGAAGGTTCACCAAGGGTTTGCCTTTGGGAATTCCCTTACCCAGTTCCTGCCTGGAGCTGGCAGAGCCCATACAGCTCCACACTTCCCCCTGCTGGCTCTCCTGCTGATGGGCTATCCTTGCCATGTTCTTCACTTCAGCACTAGGCATTGTAACTAGTCTTTACCTGCGTGCATTTACTCAGTTTTCCCACCAAGGGTCGCTGCCCCAAGAGATGGATATAAGTCTCTACTTCCTATGTAAGAATCAGGAGTTCTTTTTGGTTTCTCTGATTCTGGCAGCTGCCCCTGGCTGGTTCCTACCTAGCCTTGCCTGGGACTCTCAGCTCATTTAAATGTGGATCTTCAGGGGATTTTTAGGCCTCCCAGAATGCCCTCCCAAGAGGAACCATTCATCGGGATAAGTGATTCCTGCTGCCTTATATGGGTCTTGCTCAATACTATTCATACCTAGAGATAGGAGGTGTTGAAACTGTATAGTAGGATAAAATCTGCCATTATTAGTTGGGTCACCTTGGACAGGTCTCTCAACATCTGTGCCTCAGTTCCCTCATCTGTAAAATGGGTGCAATCCCTACCTCACAGGGCTGTTGTGAGGACTGAAAGAGAAAGTGAGAAAATATCTACCAAGTGCCTGGTACATAGTGACTGTTAAATAAACCAATTTTTATCTGCAACTGTCCTACATATTCATGACTCCCATGGTGGGAAGAGAGGAGTATGAGTGAATTGCTGCTTATTTCACAAAATACAGAGTTCCTGGGACGGTGGTTCTCAAAGTGTGGTCCCTGGACCAGCAGCATCAGTGTCACCTGGGAACTTGTTACAAATGCAAGTTCTCAGGCCCCACCGGAGACTTTCTAAATCGGAATCTGCAGGGCAGGAGCCCAGCAATTTGTGTTTCAGTGGTCCTCCAGGTGATCCGGATGTGCCCATCCAGAGGCCCTTTTGAAGGACAGGTTTGAGTTTTATTTGTTCAAGGCTTGATGATAAGAGATGGCAGCTCTGGGCTAGAATTTAGGAAACCTCAAGTGGAGGAGGGTTATGGCTCAGAACCAATGAACTTGACTGGCCCCTACCTTCCTAAGTAGAATTATTTGCCCTGGAAGTTCTTTGCTTATGCCTGGTCGGGGCATGGTGTTGGGGAGAGGAGGTTGTTTTAAGGGATGACTCCACCAGAGCCCTGCCCATCTGGCCTTGTTCTGGGGGGGAATTCTCTGCTTTGGGGACTCCACTGAGGCTCCTGGCGTCTCTAAGAATAGCTGATTACCACTACTATGTGGTATCTTTGCTTTCTGGCTGAGCTGGCTCCTTGCTCTTCCAGCCTCTCAAAGACATGTTCTCTCTTATCCTAAACTTGAATCTTCTCTGAGAGCCACAGGACTCCTGACATTTTGTCCCCATACTCATGCTGCTAACCAGTAGGGTTGTGACAAAGCAGCCTGAGTTCTGAGCCCCCAGGGCTGGAAAGCAGAGCGCTAATCCATCCTGATTTTCCTGGGACTGAGGGGTTCCCTAGGGTGTGGGGCTTTCAATGCTAAAACTGGGAAGGAAGTCCTGGATACACAGGAATAAGTTGGTCACCCTACTCTAAAGGTTCCAGAGAGGCCTTTAGAAGGGGAAAAAGGAGATAAGCAAGGGCCTTGAACATGAACCAGGGGAGGTGTGTGTGTGTGTGTGTGTGTATTGAAGGGACAACACAGTTACAAATACTTTTTGTATATAATGGCTGACAGATTCGTAGCTCTCTCCTAGTTATCATTGTCTGTTTATGTCCATGATGCCGTTTTCCAGTTGCTCAGGTTTGCAAGGTTGTCACTGACTCATGCAATTTTTCGTCACTGGGAGAATCACACTGATTCATCTTTTCCGACAACCTCCGTCTTTCCCCACTCCAAACTGGCCCTGAATTCTCACTGCTCTTACCTTTTGCAGTAGCGAGAAATACACTACTTCCTCAGTCTCTGTCCACCCTAAACACTGCTCTCATGCCTCTCCTCCAAAACCCCCAAGGACCAGGTTCTGTCTACAGTGCAATGCCTACATTTCTACCCTTGGCCCTCCCCCCCCCCCCCCCCCCCCTCTGTAATCTCTTTTCTTTCAGTTAGGCCCAGTCACACTTACAGGGACAGAACCTAACGTGGCCAACAGCATGAGCTATGAGTCAGACAAGCAGGTGAGTCCCAGCCCCACCATTTAGAAGCTTCATGACGTGACCAAGTTCCCTTGGGCTTCTGTGATCCATCCAGTTTCCTTATCCTTAAAATGAAATTAAAGCCTCATTATCTCCTGGGGTTATTGTGAAGATTAATCCTTGCAAGGCACCTGGAACTGCTCAGTGAGTGGTAGCTATGGTCTGAAAAGGCCAGGTTCCCTCTGCCTTCCAGCCTTGTTCCCTCTCCCTGAAATATCCTCTCCTGGGGCCTCCCCTGCAACTGAGACCCCAGCTGAGCCTCCTGAACCCTTGCGAGTGAGCCTGTGGTTCCTGGGCAGATGCATGGGAAGATCTGACAAGGGACTGACCGGGAGAGAGGGGAAGCAGGAAAGACTCCCAAGCATAGTCTTCCGCTGATTATCTGGGCGGGACGCGCATAGACGAAGGTCTGTAGCTACTGAGTGCTCCTCTTCCCTCCCCATCACACTGCGCCAGGGTGATTAGTCACCAGTGGGATACATTAATCTCAGAGAAGTCTGCCAGTGGAGGTAGGCGGTTACTCCAACCTCCGCCTCGGTGGGCGGGGCCACCCCACCCTGTCGCCGCTGCCTCTGCCATCCTAGTGCAAACATTTTCTGCCCCAGAGTGGAGTGGAGGTCCCGGAAGTAGGGGTGTTCCCCCCCACCTCAGCTTGCATCACTTGTGACTCAGCTTAGGGTTCTTTCAGGTGGGGTGGGGAGAAGGGGCGGGGCTCCATTAACAAATGGCCTCAAGTGGGAAAAAAAAGTCGGGCAAAACGTCCTCAATTTGGGGCCCGGCTTGAGGTTAGGGGCAAGGTCTCAGAGGTTTCCGGGGATCAAAGGCGCGGGGAACTGCAACCCAGGCAGCTCGTAGGGGAGGTCCTCCCGCAGCTACTGGAGTTCATCCCCCTCCGTGCAGCCCCGAGTCTCCTGAGCTCTGAAGGCCAGAGAGATGCCAGGGGCCAATCCTGACCAGGGGCTCTTCCTTTGTACAATGGCCACAATCAGATCACCTACCTTGTAGGGTTGCTTGCCATGAGGGTTAAAGAAAACCGCTCCGCACATGCCAAGCAAGGAATACCCGAAATAACCAACAGATTTTGCTCTCGCCGCTCGGGGCGGGATTGAGGCGTGGCGCAAAGGAGTCTCCACTTTATTCTCAATAACTAGGAAAGGTGGGCGTCTGCACTGTGAGCTGGAAGAGGCCGAGGTCGACAGCCACCCTCCATCCGCACCCCGGACCGGGTGCGCGGTGCAGGGGCGAGAGGGCTAGAAGTCTCCGCTCCGGAGCGAGGGCGGCGGCTTTGCCTTCAATCGTCCACCTGTAT